TGAAAGGCAAGCTCAGCACACATTTGCTGTTTTGCACATAGGAGCAGTGTAAAAGTAGTGGTTTCAGATCAGATCAAAGGTCAGACAAGTTGCATTTCCTATTTCTGAAGAGGAACTATTTGCCTGGTTATGGGAAACACTGATAAGTCAGTCCAAATCCAGAGTAATCCTTACCTGTTATATTAGCTTCAGTTTCAGGAGTCAAAAGTATACTCAAAAACTTCATCTGGGCCATTGTGTTTAGTACACAGTGGTGCAACTGTTTTCCATTTTGTTTTGAAACCATTTTTGTGGTCCACGGGAACCACTGATGGTAGGTTAGTGAACAACTAATTCCTTTGTTTTTTAAATCTACTATCTTAATTGTTTTTTTAATAGTTCTTATGATATGAAAAATATTTTAAGAGGTAAAGAGCATATTGCAAGAAAATTATTGAGCAGAACCTGGCTTTCAGGAAGGTAGAAGTTAATGCTGGGAAGTGTTTGGCAATAAAATAATTCACAAAGAGATATGGTATCTATTTATATTTTTAGATATTAGATATTTTATATATTTAATCTGGTTTTTGATTTCTAAAACACTGTGATGTGTGTTGTGAACAGTGGTCTTTCAGTGGTGATATGGGCTGATTCTGTGAGACAGTGTTGCATGGTAAGAATGGCACAGGAAGACAGAATCAGCTATGGGAGAGAAGATTTGAGAAAATGTTTTTGTTTGTAGGCAGTAGGAAATGAGAATTCTCAAACAAGGGTGTTGCTTCTGTGCAGACTGGCAGCAGCTCAGCACAGATGTACTCACACAAATAGCTGTCTGCCTGTGTGTGGTTCTCTCTGTGTAGATACATTTTCCATATTTTGCATATCTGCAAAATTTCAGCAACTCCAATAGTTCACTCAAATGATTTTAAGTGACTTAAGGTGTGCCAGTCAGCTAAGTGAATAGTGTAGTTTTTAAAGACGTTGTATATGCAGAATTTCTCTGTTATTAGTGCAGATTTACAGTTGTAGTTCCCTGTTTCCATTAGGACTTCCACCTTTACTCACATAAATGAACACAGATGGGGGTTAAGAACAGTGCTATCCTATGACAGTCTGGAGTACATGAGTAACAGGTGAAATCTCCATGTTTTCGTCACACCTAAGTTACAAGCTGAAGCTTTGAGAGGTTGAGAGAAAACTATAATGTGCATTTTTTAGGACAGGTGAAAAATAAACGTGATTTGGAAACTTTACACTGGGAGAAAACTTCCTAGGAAAAGGTGGTTGCCAGAAGGTTTTCATATTTTAGTAAGAGATACGAATTTAAATCTTTGCTTTCTGACCTGGGCTCTAGGGATTACACTGCTGTCTTGGTCTTTGTGTTTTTCTTTTCCAGTCAAAATGACATAAAAGATACTGAGTGACAAGCTGCCAATTGAGCAGGAATTTTTTCTTGACTGGGATCTTTGGATACTTTATCAGTACATGTGTTTAATATTACTGCAATACCCATATATTAAAGTGAATCAATTAATACATAGCTGATCCTAAAGAATGTAATTTGGAATTTAATCAAATATCTTTGTGTTTTCCATTTCCTACACAATCAGTCCTTCAGATGGTTGTCTGTACTTAAATAGTAATATCGAGCAAGTAGCAGTTTCTTAGAATCCAGCTCTGGACAACAGTAGAAGAACAAATACAATTTCAGATGTATCATTTATTCAGATTTTTCTATCTGTATGAAATCCAGCCGGATGATTGAGATAACTAAAAAAGCCCTAACAGGTGAAATTATACAAAATACTAGATGAACATTATATGTGTTCCAAATCAGAATCAGTGGAATGCACATAAAAATGGGAGGTAGTGAGGGAGAGGCTGGATAGCAGTGAGCAGAATGGAAAATCATGTGAAATATAATTCAAACTCAGGATGTGGTTGTGGCTTCTTTATAGCCTGCAAATGAGGAAGTGGTTGACAAGTGTTAAAACTCATGATTTTATCTCCATAATCTCACAAGGGGGTTTAGTGGGCAGGGTGTTGGCTTTTCCTTCGTTCTTTTTTTTAATGCTGGTTTCTTCTTAATGGGAAAAATAAACCAGGTAAACATATAATAAAGACTGTGTCATTGGTCTTTAGTAGATTGCAAGTAGAATGTATTAAATGGGAATGAAATAGTACTTACTTTTTGAAAGTCTAAGCAAATTCTTATTTCACAGTATGCACTGGACAGAGGGATTCTTCAATCCTTTCTAATCTTAAACTGAAATGTGGAGTGCTATGTTCACTAGAACACAGAAACACTCAAGAGCAGTTTTCATAATTATCATTCATTTACAGTTTGTTCTGCAGAATTGAAAACATTTTTTTCTTTTTTGGATTTATAGTAAGCAGTTGGTAAGTTGTTATTTAGTGTTAAAGTAGTTCCTGCATTTTCAGTTGAAGAGGAAGTTGGATCTGTTGATAAACCCTACATTATGATGAGGTTTATAAGGGCTGTAGTGAACCTTAAATGTGCATAACAGTGAATTTTAAGTTTTTCAGTGTCTTGCACTCTTTAGCAGCGTTAGTTAAATTTAAATATGCATGAGTATAAATCATGCTATTAACTTCTGTTGTCATTACTGCTTCCGCTCGAGTTTTTTGCTACTTTTGGCAGTGAGAGCACGCCTTGGGATGCTGAGGGTGCACATCATGTACTGGTAGCAAGAGCATTTTCTACATACGGACATCATTTTAGAACATGTGAGCACTGAGTGTTTGAAGAGTAATGTTTCATGGTATTACAGTAGCTTTGGTAGATCTGCATTTTTGTGTCAATATAAGAAGAAAAGTAAAACTTGAATGCCTATGTCATTGTGAACTGCTCATAGGCATTCACTGGAAAGACATAAACTATTTTTGGTCTTGGATGTGGGCTACATGGACTCAGACCATGCATAAATTCAAAAAATTCCCAAACAAGGATGTCCAGAAGAGATGCTTTTCAAAGAACAGAAGCCAAACAAAACTACAAAACACTCACAGACATAACTTAAACCTTATACTTAAGCATTCCTTTGGAAATTAACTGTTCATTAAAGCGTCAGAATGCAATAATGCAAAGATAATCTCATGCTTCATAGGTTTTATGTTAAGTAACAGAGGCTTAAAGCTGTTGTTGCATTTTAGATGACTGAGTGGTTTTGTAGCTAATGAAGGTGAGGTGAGATGAGGAAAAGGCTGTGAATAAATCTCAAGGAAGATATGTTCAAAATAAGTGTTTTGTTCATGGTCTGCTGCCAAAAGCAAGACAGATTTGTATTCATTTGGTTAATTTTCGTAGTGGTTCCTGTAAGAAGGAATCCAGGATTAGAGGTAATGGGAGAAATTAAATGAGAACACCTTGTGATTTAAAGCATTAATAAATACATTTAAAATGCCAGGCAGTGTGTCTGGCAATTGCTTCTATTTACCTGTTGTTTTCTAAAACAAAAGAAACGGTTATAAAAATGGATTTTAAGCAATAAGGCTTCTTTCATTTAAACCAGACAAGTTGTTCTTAAAAATCAAGCAAGGTAAGAAGAAAATTAGTTGTAAAGATGTTGCCACAGAAGAAAATTCATTATGTTTCTTGTGGTTTAGCACCATGTCTTTTCTTCCTGTTAGGACAAGTTGTGTTCATCTCCTGATTTTTTCACCTGAGGAATTCATTTTCTTTTTGTCTCTCTCCTATTTAGAAAGCTTATTGGTGAACAGTTTCTAACTTTACTGCATGCAGATAAAGGATGGAATAGGGTAATAAAGAAAGCAGTAACAGCAGCTGAGCAGAATAATCACCTCAGATTTGTTTACTGCTGGGGACATCAGATGGCTGACTCAGAGCAATACCCATCTAGAAATAAGTACAAATCTAAAAGTCGTGCTGTTGTAGTCTTTTATATTTGGAAGTCCACTCTGCAGTATGCCACAGAGAAGCATCCCTGATGTTGGTACTTTCTGTAGTTTATCTGTATCTTTTTGATCCATTTTATTACTCCTGAAAGAAAAATATTTTTTTATGCTTCCGTGTCAGAAACAGAAAATACAGAAATGAATAGAAGGTGATGTGCAAAAACAGGAGGGGTTTTAAAGTTAAGTCTTACAGGATAAATTCTTAATGTGAAGATTTGGTTTGATTTCTTATTACAGCTTTGTTTACTCATGCAAAACCAAATTGAATCATAGAGGTCATCAGTATTATACAAAAAAATAAAAATATACTTTTTAATTCCCTACAAGAGAAATTTCAAAGTATTGGAAGCTTGTTGTGGAAAAAAAAAAAAAAATTAGTGTATCAGCTGGATTTCATGGTTTGCTAATAAAATGACTGCTCTGCTAGAAGATAATTTCATTTGAAACATTCCATTTTGACACACAAATTACAGTCTCTTCCTAACTAAGTGCCTCAGAACAGAACAATAAAAGAGATGCCCTTCCTGAAAGCTAAACTAAACCAAAAATTTACAGCCTTCTTTTTGCTCTTATTGGCTCTGTTCAACTGGTATGTCAGCAGCTGTTGTGCAGACAAGATTCTCCAGCAGAGACAGTTAACTCTACTTTTTTATAGTATTGTGTAATGCTCGAATTCTTTGTTCAATCATTAGGAAATTTCCTATCAATCCAAGAAAATTTAAGTACTTTACCATAAGGAAGAATAATGTAAAACAAACAAAAAAAGTCTGACAGAAACAAATCTGTCATCTTTATTGATTTGCATGAGAAATATTGATAGTTTTCTATTTTAAGTGGTTTGTACTGTCTGCTAATTATGTTGGGTTTATGTAGATGGGAATGCCAGTCTTAAACCAAAGAAATTATTATATTTAGACAGTTTCAGGTGATTATTTAAAAGCTAATGTAAAATGAAAGGGTCCTTTGATGGGTCAGGTCACTTTTTTTTTTTTTGAATCCTGTGTTATTTTGGAATGTTTTTACGCAGAAATAATTTTGTCATGTTAAAAAACATTGTATTAATCTTGTTTTTCTCTGTCTTGCAGGGCAGCACAACTATTTATGTGCTGGAAGAAATGACTGCATAGTTGATAAAATCCGTAGGAAGAATTGTCCAGCGTGTCGCTTGAGGAAGTGCTGTCAAGCTGGAATGGTCCTGGGAGGTGAGCTGCTTTCCACATCTCACTTGGAGAGATAGGCAGTCAAGAAACTTCACTTTCTTGAGTTTAATATCGATTTGATGCTGTAAAGGAAGGAACCACATTAAAATGATATTCTTGGAAGGATGTTCAAAATAATTTTAATTCTTTCCTTGCAGTTTTTCTTTAATGAAAGTCTGGAAATGCTGGAGCAAATATAACTTTCTGTATGAACTGGTGATGTATCCTTACATTCATTTTCTTGAAACAGGAAGAATTGTATTTTGCTGTTTATTTATTAGTATTCCTGAATCAGAAAATTTGATTAAAAAGCAAATGGAGATCAACACAAAATCAGAAATTAGTACTCCCTCTGCTTTTCTGCTGTGCTCATCATTGCTTTGTTTAGAATTCATCAGTTTTTTTTTAATCTTTCTTTTCCACCAAAAGGGCTTAAGCAGTGACTGCAGCAACACAATAGACTTGTGCATACTAGGTGCTGGGAATTCCTGTCTTCATATTATGTCTTACTGTAACAGATTTGTTTTTTAACATAACATTAATCTACATTGAGTCCTCTGTCTTCAGAAGCACAGGGAGTAAATGATACAAGGTCATGTAGTTACTTGACAAGTTTTGCTATGCTAATATGCAGGAATGATATGTATTTTTCCTCTTTTATTTTTTATTTTTTATTTTTTATTTTACACGAGAATTTAAGCTGTACCATGTTTTGCACCAGCACCAGCACAGGGCTTGAAGAAATGTACGGCTGAAGATGAAGCAAAGAGGAATATATTCTCAAATGGAATTAGTAAAAAAAAAAAAAAGAATAGGCAATTTTTTTTTTTTTTTTCTACTGCGTTTTAGTGAATTAAGTGTTTCTCTTTCTACATTTCTGTATTGTTTTTCCCCTTGGAAGAAGAACTGGCATTATACAGTTGGTAATTTCATTATTTTGTTGTGTGTGTGTCCATTCATAAATTAAAATGAGTATGTATTTTTCAGGCTGACAGTTTGATTGCACAGCTGTATGCTTTCAGCTTCTGTAATATTCTTTGGCTGCTCCAGCACTTTGCACACATGGCCATTGTGTCATTCTTACATTTTATGTTTTATCAGTGAAGTAAATCAGTATTCCGCATCGTAGGCCAGCTGTTACTGCCTCTCTGGGCTTCAGCCTTCTTAAGAGACAGTGCTGCAGCTGCAGGGAACAGTCCATGTGATGCAAGGAGGTAGAGGCAGTGCTTCAGGCTGGGCTCTGTTCTGTGACATGCCCCTGAGCTTCTTTGAGTCCTGTTCTCCAAACTGCGTCCCTCTCACCTCACAGCATTGGAGTACAGAGAATAATGACAGCCATTAGCCTTCCCCCCCTTGCTGCACATTGTTTGGCCTCCTCTTGGTGAAAAAAACAGCACTGTCAAGCATATTGTGGCACTAGACTGGGGAAGGAGGACTGAATGAGAACATGTGGTGGACAGCAGCTGGACAGTAGCTCAGCACCTCAATGCCACTCTCTCATTTCCCTTTCTCAGAAGGGGAGGTGAAGAAAATTTGATGGGAAAAAAAAAAAAAGCTCTTGGGTTGAGATAAGGACAGGGAGATTGCTCACCAGTGACTATCATGGACAAAACAGACACAGCATAGGGAGATTCATTTAATTTTTTGCCTGTCACTAACTGACCAGGACAGTCAGAATTAAAAGCAAACTACAAACACCTTTCCACCCTGTCCTATTTCTTCCTCCTGACCAGTGCACTCTTCATCTCTGCCACTCCTCCATGGTCATTCTCTGCCCTTTTCCACATGGCTTCCTCCCAAAACAGTCCTGTGTGGCCTTCCCAAACACTGCAGCTCTCCCAGCACTGCTCCAACACAGCTCGTTCCCATGGCTCCCACCCATCAGGCACTGCTCCAGCTCAGCCCCATGGGCAGCAGCTCCCCCAGCCCTCCTGCCCCACCGTGGGCTCCTCTCTGTGGGCTGCAGCTCTGGCCCAGGCTGCTTCTGCAGGGACATCCGTGGGCTGTACTTCCTTCAGCCTTCATCCACTGCTGCACAGTGGGCTCCTCCATGGCTGCATATGGAGATGTGCTCTGTGCTCCACCTGTGGGCTGCAGGGCGATAAGCCTGCTCCTCCTTGGGCCTCTCTTGGGCCACAGGGAACTGCTGCTTTGTGCCTGGAGCACCTCCTGCCCTCCTCCTGCACTGACCGTGGGGGCTGCAGGGCCACTTCTGTCCCATCTCTCACCCCTCTCTTCCTGCTGCAGTTGCACAGCACTGTTTCTGTCCCATCAATCCACTCTCCCAGAGGCACACCGGCGTTGCTCACGGCTCAGCTCTGCCCAGTGGTGGGTCCCTGTGCTCACACAGCACCCCTGCAGTTTTATCACATCTGAAACCTTTCTACACATAACTACGCATATCCTTTGGATCCTTCTTAGGGAAGGGTGTTATTTTAGATCTGGGGGAGGAATCATATAAAATCCTGAATTAGAAGGAACCCTTAAGGATCATCAAGTCCAACCCCTGGCTTCACACAGGACCATCTTAGACAAGACTGTCCAAATGTTTCTTGAGCTCTGGCAGCTTGGGGCTGTGTCCACTGCCCTGGGCAGCCTGTTGCATGCCCACCATCCTCTGGTGAGCAATTTTTTTTCTAATACCCAACCTGACCATCTCAGGATGCAATGAACATACATTTTGCTCCGTGTGTAGGTTCCTAAAATGTTAGAAAGTTGGACTATTTTGCTAGCAATACTGGTGAAACAGTATGTCTTCATTAATATGTTCTCGTATGAGTCATATTTGAAAACAAAATCATGTCATGTATGGGGAGAATATAAACTTCCTTGTTCTCTCTGTTTTTTCCAATCTATTACTAGGAAGGTGTAAATAGTTTCTTTGTAGTTGGTGCTGGGCGGCTCTATCTAACCAGTTTGTGCTGGTGTTTAGCCCTTTTCTAAACATACCTAACCAGTGCTGTCTTCCATTTATTGTGGAGGCTGTTCCAGTCCAGTTCTTGGAGGTACATGTGATCTCTGCCTGCATATTCCTGCCTGCTCCAGTGATGTGGTAGCAAACAGGAAGAAGGGAACAGTGATGCAATGGAATAAAGAAAATACCAAGTGGAGCCATGACTGTGGCATCTCTATTTTTTTCTCAGCCAGTTCAGATTGAGTGTAGTGTGTCATGTGCTCTTAGTGATGTGAATAGGTCTGGGGAGAGTAGGAAACTAATTACTGTACACAGACTGAAGTGGAGCAATTAATGCTAAAAAGGGCAGAAAAGACAAATTTAGGACCAAAAAAAAAAAAAAAAAAAAAAAAGATGAAAACTGGATCGATCTTATATTGCAAATGAGGATTTAAAATCCAAATCAAAAAAAGCCCTCTATATTACTATTGGTCTTACTACTCTCATATATCTTACTTTTGCTCTTTACCATTTTTTGCACTTCATTTGCTGCATACATCTTGCAGTGTTTATCACAGCATACTCTGCTTATTTGGATAATTATCCTCAGGGAGTAAGTGTCCATAAGCAAATTCCCAATCCATAGAGAAAATGGTATACTTGGATACACAGTGAACTATTTTTTGGAATTGTTCGGTACTTCAAATCTTTTCCTGTGTTTGCATCCTGTAAGAATGTTGTGCATTTTGTGTTTTCTGTCCTTCAGACAGAACTTCCACAGATATACTTACTTTCTTTTGCTTATATGTGATTTCTTAATGCTAGCCTTCAGTAACTGAGAACTGAGAAAGGACCTTCTATAGTATTTAATCAAGGTGAAGAAGGCTTTAAGATTTTATAGAATGTTAAATATAGATTCCAAATACGTGAAATTAATTTTATTGTTGGGAGTGCTCTTATCTTCCACTGAATGTTTCTGAATGGCATTCATATAGATAGATGAAAAGTGTATCACATTGACAGCAGCTCCATTTTCTGCCCCTACTTCACAGCAGTTAAAGGGGTCTGTACTGTTTTCAAAAGAAATTCTAGTCAGTGCATTACATAGTAGCAAGAAATAGCTTTAGCAACTGTTATTTCTTGATATATACAAAGAAAATATTAATGAAAGCACGTGTTTCATAATGTCCTAGTTTTCCTTCTCTGTGGGAATGTTAATTTAAGTTCTGTAGTTTCATAACTGCACGTGTTAATCTATTTCCTTTCTAGTCTTCTACCTAACAGGGTAGCAGAAGGCTGTGTCAGATCCTGGAGTAAACGAATACTCAGCTTTTTTTTTCCTATCAGTGGATTTGTGATTTTCCCAGGCTGACTATCACTGATTCCTTGTTCTGCTCTACTGCTAAATCATCACATTATTCGTTGTTTCAGTCAGCTTTCAGTCCTCATTGCAATGATTAGATGCAGACAAATCTTAATTAATTTTCCAGGTAATGGAAGTGGTAATGTCAGAGGGCTTATTAAAATCAAGATGTATGACTTCTGCTTTTTTGCTTTGTTCCTCTATTTTGTATACACCCTCCTAGAGTGTACACGGTTTGTTCTGCTACACAAAACGTAAGAGCAGAGTGACCTTAAAGTCAGAACCACAGTGTTCTGTCAAGAATAATAAGTCATTGACATTTTTCACCTGATTAGAGTGATTGCAGGGTGTGAGGAAGGACAGTGAGGTTTTTGACTTTCACTAGAAATCGATCCATTCTAATACAAAATTTCCACTATTAATAATGACGGATTGGCTATTTTATTCTGTATGCCTAGTTAAAAGAATATTAAAAAACAGAATTATGATATGTGTAATGGAGAAAATCACAGTATATTTGAAGCTAAGATGATGTAGATTTTATTGTTTTTATTACTTTGTCTTCTAAGTACACATGCTACTCAAATACTATATCACTTGCTCTTTGTAGTAAATCGGGGAACTGTGAGTACCAGGGGAAGCTGCTTGAGTGGCTGGCCATCCAATTTAAAACAAATTAGTGAAAATGACAGAAAGAAAAGATGTTCTGTATAAATGTGCACAGAATGACCTTACACTATGACAAATAGTTGCCAGATTGGATTAGTAGTCTTTACATTATGGGGCATAGTAGAGACATTTGCTTATCTTAAAGCAGGAAATTATTTCAATGTTTTTGTAAGCTGCAATTGAAAAAACTATACTATTTTCAAATCTTTGTTATTCTCCCCCTGTCTTTAAGAGTTTGCATTCATCTGTGATGGTCTCCTTGCGGTAGATGGGAAAGTTTACTGTGAGTTACCTATAGGTAACAAGTGGGTTTGGTGTACTGCTAGCTTGAAGCAGCATGATTAGACATAAACACATACATAATTCTGCAAGCCAGTGCAACATTAATTCTGATCCATTTAATCACTTGGAAACATGGGTACTTATTAACTACTCACATTTCCACATGGTAAGTGCTCTGTCTGTTTCTTTCTTTACTTGTTCTCTGAACTGTAAAAGTATCTGAAACCATTATTTCACAAAATACCTGAAATCGTTATTTATGAACTACCAAATGCATTGTTCCCTCTCTGCTTTCCTTCATGCCTAAACAATACTTGGGAAATTCCCAGCATGTTTAGGACTATATGTGTATTTTCTATTATAGAAATTGGTCCAAGTGTCTATTCTTTTTCTGTTTTTGTTGTTGTTGTTGTTGTTTTGTTTTGTTTTCTTTTTTGGTGTTTTGGGGTTTTTTTGTTTTGTTTTGTTTTATTTTGCCCAGATGCAAGATAATTTGTAAGTTGGTCTTGGGTAGTTTACTAAGGACTCACTGAGCAGGAATATTTGTATCCTTATTCCAAGTGATAAAATAAGCATAAGATTGGCACAGAACTGGATACAGAGCTCATTGACCTCACAGTTAAGTTAGCGGCAGTACTACCTGTGACTTCAGTGGATAATGACTGCTGTTGAAGAGCCCATCCTTCACATTTATACTGTTAATAACATGTGAAGTGTGACCAGGGAGGGAGGTGACTCTGCCCCTCTACTCTGGTCTTATGAGACCTCACCTGGAGTATTGTGTCCAGTTCTGGAGCCCTCAACACAAGAAGGACGTGGAGCTGTTGGAGCAGGTCGAGAGGGTGGCCACGATTATATCAGAAGGCTGGAGCACCTCCACAGGGACAGGCTGAGAGAGCTGGGGCTCTTCAGTCTGGAGAAGAGAAGGCTCCAGAGGGACCTTAGGAAAAAGGGGCCTACAGGAAAGCTGGGGAGGGACTTCTAATAAGGGCATGTAGCAAAAGGACAAGGCTGGGTGGGGTTTTAAGGGACGTTGGAACTGGATGACCGTAAAGGTCCCTTCCAACCCAAACCATTCCATGATTCTATGGTTCTGTTTCTTGAAATTTTGTTTAGCATACTCCCTTTGGATTTTAAATACTATTCCAATTAAAATGGAAGTTTTGCACTTTTTTTCTTTTTTGTTTGTGAAATGTGTAAGTATTCATATTTGTGATAGGAAAAGAAAAAAACTTCTGCTTTTTAAAGCAAATTCAAGCTTTTTAGTTGCATTCATCTACTCAGTCCTGTCTGGTTCAAAAACAAGAGGATTGGTTCTGCCTTCAGCTATGCCAGTGTACATCAAGAGTTACTAAAGTCATGGAATTTTCTCTGTATTAAGTATTTAGAAAGAACAAAAGGAATCTCTCCATGTTTGATGTATTGATCTTCCTTGATGTTATACTATGACATTAATGTACTAATGAATGTTTTGAAAAGGTCAGTGCAAGTCTCTGGAGCATCCATCTTAGATATTCCAAAATGGAGATACAGGATTTTGATAAATTTTGTTATCTTCTATTATGTGGGAGCATCTGAAGAAAAGGGAATAGATATGTTCCTACATAAATCCGTTTTATTGAAACCTTCTGTTTTTGCATGTAGTTTGGGAGACAATAAATTTCCAAGGAGGAAGGTGATGAATGAGACACACTGCTTGCGTCCCTAGGTTCCTCCATTGCCCTGTTGAGAAAGGATTCATAGCACATGCTGAAATTAAGGTGTGCTCCCTTACTCCAGTATCCTGGAGTCTCTTTGGTGCATGGGTTGCATTCTGACAGTGCAGCAGCATTATCAACTAAAACAAAAAGAGGGCAGTAACAGAGATTTGCCTGTCACATTTATTTAGTGTGTGTTATTTCCCCTGTCTAATATTTCGCTTATAAATAAAAATACTGTTTTTTCAAAAGATAATATGATATGCATTATTTCAACCAAATGCATACACAGTGCTACACTTCTACTACTCTTCTCATTTACTTTTAGTGTTATTTGTGTTTTACATTTTTACACCACAATTTCTCAATGATTCAGTGATATGATAGGCAGGGATTTTCTTTTCCACCAATGAAATTTGCTGCATGTCTTTTCTACTTTTTACAGTACAATGTGCAGCACCTCAACAAGTAAAAATATCATGATGACTTCTGGTTTGTTTGATATATATATTTTTTGAACAGAGTATTCTCCTTTCTTATTTTGTTTAAGATTGAAACTTGTGAGCCTCTTAATTTTATTGAGAGAATGACTTAGTATATGTTTGCTGTCACCCTGCATCTCCCTCATTATTCCACTGACATCTATATCAATATAAGTACCAGCTTCTTTATTATGACATACATCTTTTACTAAGGAAAACTTGTTTGTCAGCACTGAGGTATTTAATGTTCTAACAACAAGTTTTAACTTTGATGATCTGTTTAAAGCAAACATGTTCCATGTAGCTGTAAATAGGACTTTTCCTTGAAACCTGTACTTTGTTACTGAGTGTTGCTGTCTTCGAGCCCTTGAAGGTTTGGTTTTTGGTGTCCATGTGCTGTACTTCCAGCATGTTGCCCTGAAAGAATTTGGAAGAGTTGCTACCTAGAGCTCTGTATGTTTACAAAGCCATAGCAGGTGTAGTCTCTTTGTTTTTATTTTGGGAAAGCAGTTCAAGTTTTGCTTTGTTTTGTTTTTCTGATTTATTTATTTTTTTTTTCCCCAAACCACTACACTCCAGAAAGTGAAGAGTTTTTGAAGGGTTAGCATGATTTTCCAGTATATGTTGACCTTTCAGTCAGTTCTGGATTCTGTTTTCATTCTTGTGAACAGCAGGAAAATATTACATTAAAGATTACCAAGATAGAATTTATCTATGAGACTGAAATGCCTTCCTGAAATTGAAGGAAAGGAATTTTTCTGTGTGATAATTACTTACTTGCATTTCTGTTTCTGAATATTAGTGAGGAAAAAAAAATAAAAAAACAAACAGTGTCCTTAATTAACACTGAATAGCAACCGAACTGTAGAGCCAGCTGGCTGGGCTGTCAGATGGAGCTGTGGGAAGTGAACCAGAAAAAACTTTATGAGGTTACAGTAACCTAGAATTCATGCAATAATTTTAGTGGGTGGGTTCCATTCATCTCACAGTGCAGGGAGGAGGTTTTGGAGAGATAAACTCCTAAGAATTTTCCATGATTATTTCTTAATTATATAAATAGTAAAAAAATAAACTTAGAAGACTGTTCTATTTGTTGTAGATGGAAAGGGTAATCTAGCACTACTGGAAGATATTGATGTTTCTGGTTAAAGTTTTTTAACAGATCTGCAAATTTATTTATTTATTTATTTATTTATTTATTTCAGGTCGAAAATTTAAAAAGCTTAACAAAATTAAGGTTGTGAGGACATTAGATGTTGCACTCCAGCAGCCAGCAGCCCTTCAGGATGAAAGCCAATCTCTAACGCAAAGGCTGTCCTTTTCTCCAAATCAAGAAATACAGTTTGTTCCCCCAGTGATAAGTGTTCTGCGAGGCATTGAGCCTGAAGTTGTCTATGCTGGTTATGACAATACGAAACCTGAAACACCAAGTTCCTTGCTGACCAGTCTAAATCATCTTTGTGAGAGGCAACTTCTTTGTGTAGTCAAGTGGTCAAAATTGCTACCAGGTAATAGCAGTTCTTGTTGTAGTGAATTCTTGTTAAGCAAATATGTCATAAGACAAGCAGTCAAAAGAGAAGATCGCTTGTTTATTGTCTGCATGTTACTTAATTCTTAAGAAATTGTTAAAGGCTTAAGTTTCCACTTCATCAGATGATGTATGCACTAATCAAATGCGTTTTAATGGGAAGTCCTTTGTAAATTAAAATGTGTTTATACTTATTCCAAAAAGAAACAATAGAAATCTAGAGTATTTCTATTCTTGATCATAACAACAGCCTTTCCATCCTAACTCTTCTGATTCTACTATTCATACTTTGAGTTTATGTATTTTTTTTTCTTTTCTGCATGTTCTTCGTTCTTACTCTTGTTGAAAAGAATTTTAAAAGAAACAGAGAAAAAACTACAGTAGCAATAGCTAAACAGCTCACAAATACTCTATGAATGAGAAACAACTGAATTTCTGAGGAACTAAGAATTACAAAAGAAAAGGTCATGATTATATATCTGTGTTCTCTGTATGGTAATAAAGTCCTGGTCCTGGGATCTATAAAAATCAGTATATTAAGTTGGAGGCCTAGAAATGTGGTTTCATTTGGTCTCAACTGACACTTCAGTCCTGCAGAAAAGTGTCAGACCTCGTAGTTGAACTGGGATTGTTCAGTCTGGAGAAAAGGCTCAGGAGATACCTTACAGCTCTCTACAAATGCTTGGAAGGAGGTTGTAGTGAGGTGTAGCCAACCTCTTCTCCTAAGTAACTAATGATAAGATGAAGGGAAATGGCCTTAAGTTGTGCCAGGGGAGGTTCAGGTTGGATGTTAGTAAAAATTCCTTCTCATTAAGAGTGATGAGGTGTTGGAACAGGCTGCCCAAGGAAGTGCTGGAGTCACTGTCCCTGAAGGTGTCCGGGGAAAGGGTAGATGTGGCAAATGGATGGTGACAGGTTGATTGTTGGACTAGATGATCTTAGAGGTCTTTTCCAACCTTTATGATTCTATGCTTTTGTGGTATTTCATCTCATTAAGTGAGAAGAAAACAAACCTTTTTTTTTACTGAGTGGGCTAATTTTCTGTTGGCTTTTTGAGCTGAACCAGTTCACTGAGGATAGGCTGAATGCCAGAGCTTGCTTGAAGAAGGTAAGAGCACCAGCTAATGAAGAACAGTTTTTGGTGACAGGAAGCTGTTAGATCATCTCTGCTACTTAGCTGCAATCTTTAAAATTATCCAAGAGCAGAAGTTACCATAGGCACGCACACGACTGATGTTCTCTGGGTTTAAATGCATTAAAGGTGTTCATAGGTGGATGTTTATTGTGTTATTTGATTTCATTTCCAGGATTTCGGAATTTACATATTGATGACCAGATAACTCTCATCCAGTATTCCTGGATGAGTCTAATGGTTTTTGCAATGGGATGGAGATCATACAAACATGTCAGTGGTCAGATGTTATATTTTGCACCAGATCTGATTCTGAATGAGTAAGTAGACACTACTCATGCACAATATGAACATTATTTTGAATTTCTTTGTGTTGATGGCAATGTGACTTCACTGAGAGCAAATTTTTATTGATTATTTGTTCTGTTTCAGAATTAACAGCCAAGTCCACTGATGATGTAAAATTCAGTGACACTGAATTTGTGTGCCAAACAAAATAAGTTCATACATTATTTTAATTATCTAAAGAGAAGAATTAGAATTATACTGTCAGAAGATTTACACGAATTCAAATGCGTAACACAGAAGTTCACATTCATTAAATGGAACTAAGTGGGATTTTCCTTGGTCGTTGTTGATTGGATGGGTTTTTTGTGAGATGGTGGATTAAATTCTTTCATCTCCCATGTGAATTAACTGTGCTGTACAAATTGAAATGCTCTGTAGGGATAAAACTCAGAGAGCTTCAAATTGTATTGGGTCCCCTGGTGTCCTCTGGGATGTATCTCATGGTTATATTCAGAAATCCACAGTAATGGCTTTAGGCAGTAATGGTATGTCTTGGTGTATTACCCTGTGTGTGCTCCACTGCATGCCATATGAAGAGGACTGTAAGTACTTTCTTCCAGAGGAGTGTTGAGATTTATGAGCCCTGCTTATAATTCCTTGTAGACAGCTTCTTGTTTGCAGCACAAGACCATTTATATTGAGAAAGAGGTGGACTGACCACATGCAATTCTCTCGGCTGTAGAACATCTTATCAGATTAGTGTCAGAAAAATTATAAGCAAAGAGCTAAACATGAGGAGTAACTGTACACTAAATCAAAGCTGCCACTATTTACTGGGGGGAAACAAAAACAAAAACAAAAACAAAAAACTTTTAGATCAGTGAAAGGCAACTGCTGAACACCAGCAGAAATGGCAACCCTCCCTGCCTCTTGCCCTGGTCATGCATGCCTAAAATTTTACTTAAGCAGGATCAAAGGCTATTTGGCTGCATGGTAAAACAGATAAGGAAATGACATATTTGAAAAATACACTAGGATAAAACCTGACTTGGCAATTAAGCTGATCCCTGATCTGACTCACCATGCGGGCTGGAAGGCACTAATGCCAGAAGAGTAGGAGTGCACACCTAGAGGTGGGAAGAGATCATAGAAATTCCATCTACTGTGGCAACACACACTTAGGTTGTTTTGAAATAACCATGAAACCGCAGTCCAAAGATTGTTTTGAGGACAATTTGTTATGTACTGAATTTGTCTGAAAATGAACTGGTAATGCTTCTAGAGTGTGACTTGCTCAGTAGCATAATTTCAGACAGTGAGCAGTGTTGGGATGACAGTGGTTTCATGGTCTCGTACTAAAACACTACAAGGCTTTACTGTTACACCTTGTGGTCTCTGAAAATATGCTTATGAACAGCATCTAATGCACCTTGAAAGCTATCACTTATGTAAAATGCTATTTATGAATAGGGACTATCAGAAAGGCCAGGCTGAATGGGGCTGTAAGCAACCTGGTCTAGTGAGAAGTGTCCCTGCCTGTAGCAGGGGGGGTTGGAACTGCATGATCTTAAAGGACCCTTCCAACCCAAACCATTCTATAATTTCATGAAAAGAATAGAAAAGGAGAATTAAAGTGGATATGGAAATAAATACAGCCAGATCTTGCAGATCAAAATTTCATGTTGGAGTCATTGAAGAGCTGGTACAAAATTTTGGATATGGTACAAAACTGGAAATATTTCATTTAAAATAACAAAAACACTTTAAATATCATAAGAAAAAAGCCTTCAGTGCATTGAGAAAAGTATTTTATTAATGGAAAATATCTTCTATTTCTGTTTGGAACACTGTCTGTAGTCAGTTTGGAATGCTAGTCTGAACTCAGAGTTACAATTCCCATTGTAACAGGTGATAAAACTCCACTGGTCTCATGGGGGAGCAAAATTTTATCAGCTTGTAATTGTTGTACCTCAGGGTACAGCTTTGTAAAATAACTCCACATTACTGCATCTTCCAGTGAATGTAGAATGAACTCAGTTTAGTTTACAAACTTCATAATGCTATTGTTTTCACCGTTTCTGTTAAAAACTGCCTTTCTAATAAATAAATGCAATAAAATAAATTCACTACACCAAAATCTCAAAGAGAAAAGTAAGATCAAAGTACTGCAAAAGACTAGATAATTTTTGTATTTTCTTGTGAAATGTCCTATTTACTGCTGCAGGAGTTCAGGTAAGGCTGTAGTAATGTCTAGTTTTACTTAAAATACTTTTTAAATATGTATACATTTAATACTTTAACTATTTCTGGAGTGCTACAAAATAATTCAGTTGCACTTAGCAGAAGAATTTTGTACTAGCAACAAAGAATTTTGATGTACATTAAATAGAAACATCTTTGCAAAACCTATGAACAAGTTTCTATCAGCTTTCAGCCTCTTTAGTTTTATGCTTTGTTTTCAAAGAACATAAAAATCTATCAATTTCTAAATAGAAGCACTTCATCATAAGTATTAGTTTATTATAAATTAATAGAAAAACTTTATTTTTGGTGATTAGCAGTCGTATGTGATAGTCTACAAGTTCTTTTCTGACCTGAAGTAACGGATTAAACATCGAAAATAATAGCTTGTTACTTACAATTAAAAAACTAGTACAAAACAGTAATTAAATGGTTCGTTTTTCTTAATTTCAACACTGTGTTAATTATGCTGCTAACAAGGCACTTCCTTGAAACAATTAGTAAGTAAGCTGCTCCTCTTCTTTATTTTCATGTTATGTTTTTTTATTTCTGTTTTTCCCTTTCCTGGGTGTAAGACAGAGGATGAAGGAATCATCGTTCTATTCGCTGTGTCTCTCCATGTGGCAGCTCCCACAGGAGTTTGTCAGACTCCAAGTTAGCCAAGAAGAGTTTCTATGTATGAAAGCACTACTGCTTCTCAATACAAGTAAGCTCTTTTGTTTCTAACGTATCACTGGTAAAATCTTTGTTTTGACAATGTTGTTTAACTTGACAATTGCTGAGCTTTCTGGCTTAACAAATGGAAACTTCTTCAGGAGGAAAATGTTAGTATATCAAGACCTAAAAATATGTTTGCAGTGTCTGTAAGGAACAAATAATCTGTTTCATCATTGTCTTTATTTTGTATAAAGGCACTGGAGAAATGTTGGATCCCTTTTAATGTATTGTAATATTGTATTATGCATTTTCAAAACAACTGTGTGTATTTCTGTGAGGAAGAATGACTTCAAATGACACTACACCAATAAAAATCTCCTACAGGCATTGGAAATATATAAATATTTGATTGACTTTTAGGTCTGTTGCTGGAGGGATTGATTCTGGCCAAGAAGTTAAAGCATGCTTATTCAAAAGATTTGCAAAAGTGGACATGGCAATCAATATTTATTCACATTTTCTACTTAAGCCAAGGTTTAGCACAACTGTAGACAGATGAACTTCTTTTAGTTGTTTACTTGAGTACAAAATTTGTGATCACTTTAATCGGATGCATCTTTGTAAGAATACAGTATACAGCTCTGCACTGAACTGTAATTGGAAAACATGGTAGTTGATGAGATTCCCTTCTGAAGCCTTTTCTAAAATACTGAGAAAGCTGATGCCTTCAACAGTCCCCAAACAGGAAATTTTAAAATTTTACTGCTACCATTAGAAATAGTAATTAGTTTACTATTTAGTTTCTAATTACCATTAGAAATAGTACCATTAGAAAGCACCTCCTAGAACTAGAAATGGAAGAATGTTCAAGTTTGGTTCTGTGCACAGTTACTGAGTTGCCTATTTCTTGGCTATACAAAGGTTCAACAAAAGATAAGGAATTAAAATTTATTCCCTCTTAGGCTGTTCTTGCCTGTTTGCACAAGCTCATGCTTTCGAAAGTCTGTCATCAGCAGAGTATAGATGGTAAAGTAAGTGTAGCTCATAGGAATATAAAAATTACTAGCGTAATAGCAAAATAGCATGCACTCTGCTAATGGAATAAAAATAATACAGGAAATAATCCCTATGTAATATAACTGCAGTTTCTTTCTTGGAATTACATCAGAGTTTTGAATGTATTCCCATTTTAAATGTTTTCCATCTTCTTTTCATCACATTTTGAAATCCTGCATCTATGTAAATGCTGGAGGGAAGTCTTACATTTCAGTTAGGTTTAGATACATTTGTGATATTCCAATTCTACATATCAGTAAGCTCAAATAAAAAAAAAAAATTAAAAATGCTTTAGTGGTCCTCTCCCTTTCAATTATGGGTGCATAAGTTTAACAGTAATCACTAAGCCACCATTCTTAATCAACCTTATAAGTTCACTTTTAAGATCATGTGCTTATATGTATGCAAGAAATTAATTTAATAATATGAAAGTATTTTGCCTACGTTCATGAGTTTTGCTTTCTGTTCATTCCTGTACTTACTGTCTTATGGGAAAAAACAATTTGTCAGATCTTTGGGAAAAGGAACACACCAAACCATTGTTGCTGAGACATTTAATACACATTTGGTACTATATAAATACAATACTCTCTACAAAACAAAGTTCAAAAAACATAAAACCTGATCACTGATATAAAGTGTTTTTTAAGATTATTTCCATTTCATGCTGTTCACCTTTATCCTCTTCAGATGTGAAAGTGTGACCATTTCAATCTTTCATGTACTAACAGTAAATCATGTCTCAACTTTCAGTCTCTCATTCTGTTTTCTATTTGAGTTATTATTATGATGCACTGGCTTTACTTTTAAAGAAACAGTAATGTGTATTGCACATAACTAAATATCAGTCACAATATATTTCTAAATCTGAATGGAAACCCCAGCTTTATTTTTAACATTTTCAGTTTTACATTTTTTCCTTTGAGGTTACTGTGGTGTAGACTTTTTCTTTTTTTCTACTGTATTGGTGGCAGTTTTAAAACTGTCTCAAATGTAGAATTAGTCTTTGCAAAAAGTAGACCAACTTTTTAATTTTCTGCCATTGTTTTGATTTTCTAGTTTCTTATTTGTTATGTTTTACGTATAGACACATGTTATATGCTCTGCTGTAATGATACCCAAAAGTTCTAAATAGTACTCCATGTAAACAGAGGCCACACATGTAGGAACCAATACAGTGAATAGCTCAGACAGAATATAATATAAGGATTGTCTTATGGAGAATACAGCATGCTTAGTCCAGCATTTCATCTTCTTCAGCTGCCAAAAGAAATCAAACACAACCCATCCCTAAAAGCCAAACTATTATTCGATATGTGGAAGCAATCACAATTTCTATTGTTGATTTTTATTTAAATTCAGATTTGGGTTGGAATCAGAATTTGACTTCTACAGCCCAGGTCAGTGCTTAGACACTTGTCTTTGTAGTCAGTTTTCTATTCTGTATATATATATATATAAGTCTCCATCCTTCCCCCAGACATTCAGTTGTCTGAGAAAGTACTGACATGAACAATCAGTGTCAACTTTGGGTCATTTCCTCTCTTGGACAGTCTCCCATCAAACAGGAAAATTCTGCTTCAGAGCAGAGATTTGAACTTTGCTTTGTAAGCTCTCTCTGGGCTCAAGATGAAGAAAATTCTTAATTGTAATGTTTGCCTCAGATGTCTTTATCCGCTTTACCTTCTCTTACTGTATGTATCTATCTATGTCTATATCTATATCTATATCTATATCTATATTTAGAAGTTCAGCTGAACTCAGTCATGGCCAGATAGTAGCCATGGCATGATACCAGACTGAAGGTATATGACATACCTAGTATGTGATTAATTTAATTATGTGAGCTACTACTCACAAGAGTCTTTTAGAGTCCATAGAGAAAAATAAGTACAGTGTAATTCATGTCTTTCTAAAGCTGCTTCTACAACAGTGAATATGTCATGTGCCCTAAACTCACCAGATTTTTTCTACTGAAAATATAGGGAGCTGTGGTAACAAGGTAAGATGGAGCTGCCTATGTTTTGAAGTGTTCTTCCTTGTATATATGCTGTCAGAAGATGAAATGTTAAATGTGATATTACAGTGTGAAATGTTATTGGAAAAAGAAAAAGGAAAGGGAAAAAGATTTTTTCTTTCAAAAACAGTATTTCTGAAACTAGATTCTATTTTAATATATGATTATTTTAACAAAGCAAGGATTTAAATTTGAGTGCCAGTTGGGGATATTTTTTCAAGTTTTATTTTTTTAAGATTTTCATTTTATAGTGTCTTCAACAACACAAATTATAAGACTTATATATTACATGCTGCCCTGTCATGGAAAATAGTGATCAGAGCATATTGACATTTCCTTACAATGCTGCCAGAGCTTAGAATCAGTGCTCAAACATGATCTTACCACTAGGAGTCACTAACAGGTTCATTTTTGGTGTTCTCTGTATGCCTTCATTTTGGTCCTAACAACAGACCATTAAGAGCAGAGTGAGTTGAGCCATTTGCTTCCGTTTGCTAATTATCTAAGAAATATTCACATTTAAGACTCTAAGAGTACATCTGTTCTTTTGAGTAAGAGAAGTCTAAACAGGAAGCCTGCACTTTGGATGCTTTACTGTCTACATTATTGAAAAACTGTTACTTCATTCCATGGTGCCATTTCAAAGCACTCCAGCTAGACCTATGATAAATATGCTCTAAGGAGGGCAGGCTCTTGGCAATGTAAGATAAGTCAACCTATGACATATTTCCTTAAGGACCAGAGTGGTTCTTTTGGCATTCTTCTTTTCAGCACGTGGCCTTAAACTTCATCTGTACCTATTTCTAGACGTACAATTGGCTGTTGCTGATACATCCTTTGACCTTGTTTCTGGATAAACTGATTAACAGGAAGAAGTACCTGGCAGATAATAATAAATTGCACAGCACACTGTGTAATATAATCTGTTCCCTTACTTAAATCTCTCTTTTTGCCTTAAGAATACATTACAACACAAATGTTGCTTTCTTTTCAGTTCCTTTGGAAGGCCTAAGAAGTCAAAGCCAATTTGATGAGATGAGAACGAGTTACATTAGAGAACTGGTGAAGGCCATTGGCTTGCGCCAGAAAGGTGTTGTGGCCAATTCCCAGCGTTTCTATCAGCTTACAAAACTGATGGATTCCATGCATGATGTAAGTTTACTTGTTAACTTGTCTTATTGTTGTTGTTTTTTTAAGTCAGAAGCAATTCAAATTTCTTAAAGGTAATTTTATGAAAAGTGGCTAGTTAACATTTCTAAACTAAAACAATGTAAGTATAACTCTCCTGTGATGTGTGAATAGATAGCTGTATATTTGGTAATCAAAACATACAGTATAAAAGATTTAAATATTTGAAAATAGGCATTTGAATGCTATCTCTGCATTATTTCTGTATCTAGAGCAATTAAGATTGTTGGTAGGGCTCCATGTGTTTGTATGTGTATGTACATGTTCATAAAAATATTTACAAAATGCAGAGATAGGGAACTCAAAAGAAAGCCAAGATTGATTTTTCTTCCTTAATTCAAGTATTTTTACACATATACTATATGCTGTTTTTTTCCAGTATCTGTTCATATTTGGGACTGATTAATATCGGAGATCTCTAATAGTGATTTAGAAATGCATAAGTGTTTTAAAAGATATATCTGAATACTTTCCACATCCCTGAAAATCCAGCATGCATCCTATGGGCTTAGCATCCACTAAAACTGAAGAATGATACTCTCTACTTATGCGAATAATGTTTTATAATGGCTTCTGTATTTCTGCAAGAGAGGCAAGAAACAGAGATACAAGGCCTCTGTTTGAACAGGGACTGGTGGAATGGCACTATGATACTTGAAGAAAAGTGATTTTGAATTCTTGGCTGTGACAAAGTCATAGAGAGTTCAGGGAAGGATGAGGTCTTTGTATTCTTTTGTACTTAGGAAATGTGCATTTTATTTTTTTTAATCTTTATTTTGTAAATAAATTCATTTTTTCATATAAAAGCTTTCCTTGTTACTATTTCCTCCTTCTGATGTAGGAAAGAGCTGAAGATCCCATTTATGAAGGTTGAGAGAGGTAACAATATTGATAATTATGTGGTTCACCAGGTAGTCTGGAATCCTTTGCACAGACCTTTCTTTATCAACTTTTGCTATCCACAGAAATCACATTGACCATTTAGCTGTCACATCTTCTCAGATACCATCAAAAGATGAATGGGACAAGGATGAAAATCAAAGAATCAGAGAATTTCAGGGGTTGGAAGGGACCTCTAGAGATCAGAAAGTCCAACCCCTCTGCTAAAGCAGCTTCCCTTACAGTAAGTTGCACAGGTAGATGTCCAGCCAGGTGTGAATATCTCCAAAGGAGATACCACATCCTCTCTGGGCAGCCTGTTCCAGTGCTCTGTCACCCTCACTGTGAAGAAGTTCTGTTAAGAAGTTCTTCTGCACATTTGTGTGGAATTTCCTATGTTCCAGTTTTTGGCCATTGCTCTTTGTCCTATCACTGCACACCACTAAAAGTATTTATAAACATTGATCAGATCCCCCCCAATCTTCTCTAGGCTGAACAGACCCATGTCTCTCAGCCTTTCCTCATATGGAAGATGCCCCAGGCCCTGTATCATCTTTGTCACCCTCATAATCCTTAAATACAATGTTAGACAACAGAATGTTCTGAAGGGAGGATATTGAGATTAGCTACAAGATATACTGGTAGTTGAGCTCCTCATCATTTGGGAATGTCAGTGCTAAATCCTTGTCAGGAATCCAGTCAGCCAGCTTTTACTTGCAAAAACAGTTCCTGGCCAGAGTCCTACTCATGCTAGCCAGGTGCTTAAGGAATCTGTCATCTGATGTTTGCATGTGGCTTGCTTGGAATAAAAGACCTTCCTGCCTTACTTGGAATAAGAATTTTCAGTTTGGATATCACAACATCCAGAGAAGAATTGAGTACTGAGTTAGTTATTGCTTCATTTCAAATTTAACATAGTAAAATAGCCTCAATGGAAGCAAGTGAATGAGGCTTGCAGCAGAATATCCAGCAAAGCGATGGCTGGAGTAGTGTTTGGTCTGGAGAGTGTCTGAGTGCAAGTCCCTCTCCCAGCTCAGACTGACAGAAATAGGTGATACAAGATAGGCCATCCCACTGGAGGCACTACACGTTGGTAAAGCCCAAGTAGGATTCTAGACAACATAAAGGTCATAGGTCTTTAAGAAAAACTGTTAAAAAATTGTAACTTCCTAGTGAAGGTAGGTGAAAGGGTTCATATGTGTAGCAGTTGCTTTCTAGCAACAAGGGCCTATGAAATTTAACATTATCAGCATATCGAGATATGATCATAGTCAGAGCAATGGGAAACCTTGAGATAAAAAATGCACTCCCTGAGGCAATGTTTGAATATCATCTAGTAAACAAGGCATTGAAATTCTTTTGTTGAACATGAGCATAAAATGAAAGCTTGAATAATTTTTAATAACTCTATTGTTCATGGTACATGTAATAAGTGAGTTCTCATGCTACTGAGTCTGCCTTTTTTAGGACATGTCATTTAGCTATATTTATGATTTTTGCCTTGGGATTATATTTTAATAAGGAATGGCAAGTTATCCTCATTACTGGTTCAAGGAATAGCATTAAGATATAATAATGATGTCAGCTGATGGATGTGTGAGCTAAGTGATTGATAGCATGTTTATCTGGCTGCACTGCCATTAGCCTTACTTGTTATGTTTGTATTTTATTAAATCCAGCTAGTGAAACAGCTCCATCTCTTCTGTCTGAACACATTTCTCCAATCCCGTGCACTGAGCGTTGAATTCCCCGAGATGATGTCAGAGGTGATTGCTGCACAGCTGCCCAAGATTCTGGCAGGGATGGTGAAGCCTCTTCTCTTTCACAAGAAATGAAATGTCTTTTCTCTTATCATAGGGATGATTTCTGGGTTGTTTTTTGTTTGTTTATTTTGGTCAAGATTTTGCAATGTCAGGACTTCAGTGTATTTGTCATACCCTGCCTACTGCTTTGTCCTTGTAACATACACAAGCCATGTAAGCTTGATGTACATATTGTGAGTTCCTGATTCCTTAACTGCAAAAATCACAACAGTCAGAAGAAATGTTTTGTAAACTTGGGTAGATTGCTTTTTAGATATGCGTAAGAATGACAATGAATAGAGTTTTCAGATTTCTAAGAACAGTTATCTTATACATTTTTCTTACATATTGCACACTCTCAAATTTCTGATATGTCATGGTGAAAACTTTTTAATACATTGTGTGCATGTGTACACGTGGGCATGCTCATGGTCCTAAAGTTTTTGAGGGAATTAAAATGTATGTTGCCCACACTTTCTCATGGATATTTGACTTTTTATTTACTAATCTGCTTCACAGAAATATCCTTTCAAAGTCAGCTGTTCAAGTTTAAGTAGATATCTCTGCAATACCTTCATGAGTAACTAAAGCGCTCTCTGCAAAATGTGTGAATATGGATTCATGTTCTTCTGTGCTCCTGCTGTATTGAAATTCTGATAGCAGTGTGCTTCTTTCTGCATCATTCAGTGCAGTTCTCCTTCAGAAGTCCGAAAGCAGAGGAGAATTTCAGTATATATTACACCAGAAGTAAGATGTATGTAAATCCACACAGCTTCAGTTTGTGTTATTTTCCTTTAAAGTTCGGCACTTAGTAAAGCCAAAACACATTGTTGTGATCTTAAATTTAGTGACTTAAAAATTATGTATTTCAGAAGTTTTAAATAGAAATATTTCCCCTGACTACCACTCTCAACAATCTTGATGGTTTGAATTTCTCTTTTTACTTAACCAAACACTACCATCAAATTTTAGAGAGGTTAGAAACAAAAAGAAGTGGAAAATATGACAACAGATGTTTTGATACACATAACATTCATCTTAATACCCCGTTTAGTGAAGCTACATATTTTATACTTTAAAGGCATGCTGTTTTAGTTGGAGTAACTGTATGAGGAGTTGGGCTGAACTAGCATTATACATTCAAGAAGAATGCCATGGTTTTCCTGGAAATGAAATATTTGACTAAAAATGATAGTGCAATGGTTGTTGTTCCTTTTGTATGGACATGAAGCTACTCATATTTGAGGCAGTAAACTGCTGATATATTCAGACAAACAGAGATGGATAAGCCCAAGAAGAATTTGGATGATTAAAATCTGATGAATTTTTGCCATCACTAAAAATGATACCCAGCTTCTCTAGCATTAATCAATGTAGGAAACTGCAAGTCTTGGATAACTGCTGGCCATATGCTATTGCTTTTCCCCATTAGACACTGGATGCATCCATTGTGGTAGCATTTTGCTTATGGTATGTAACATGAGATGTATGGACTTGTCTTTGTCAGGTAAGCTAAGGCCCACCAAGAGGAAGCTACATAACAGATAGGAATAGAAGTACCCTGCATAGTACAAAACCCACTGGACTTGTGGCAAAGAAGTAACTCAAGGAAAAATGGTCTAAGCAGACTTCTGTGTTTGTTTACTAGGTTTGTAACTTTTAACTGCCCCTAAACAAGCTATTTCTTACTTATTTAATATAGTCTGACTTTCAACTGTCATCCTTAAAGCAATTGTGTTTTAATAAATAACACAAAATTCTGTTTCTACATATCGAAGTTTTGTTTTCTTTACTTTTCTTTGTATTTACATTCAGTTATACAGTTGTCCATTTCAACCACTCATCTTCTGCGTAACGACAATATTTTCGTGCATTCCTCGGGGGTTTAAGCATATGATTTACTATCGAATAACCAGACTTTCTATCTTGCTGTTTAGATTAAACTGTTATCAGAAACTTCCCATACTAAAAGTGGTTCCACAACACTACACAAAATCACAGAATGCTAGGGGGTGGAGGGGACCTCTGGAGATCATCCAATCCAACCCCCTCCTAAAGCAGGTTGTCCTACAGGAGGATGCGTAAGGAAGTGTCCTGGCAGGTTTTGAACATCTTCAGAAAAGGAGTCTCCACAATCTCTCTGGGCAGCCTTTTCCAGTGCTGTCACCCTCATAGTAAGGATGTTCTTTCTCATGTTCAGATGGAAATTCCTGTTTTTCAGTTTGTGCCCAGTTCCCCTTGTTCTGTCACAGGGAACCACCAAAAAGAGCCTGGCCTTATGCCCTCTCAGTCGTTTCCAGGCTGAACAGTCCCACATCTCTCAGCCTTTCCTCATAAGGAAGATGCTTCTCCCAGCTGTATTTGGGATCCAACTCCCTTGGATTCTTTCCAGAAATTTCCTGTCTTTCTTGAACTGGAGAGCCCAGACCTGGACACTACTCCAGATATGGCCTCACCAGGGCAAAGTAGGGGGGGAAGGATCACCTCCCTTGACCTGCTGGCCACACTTCATAATGCACTCCAGGATACCCTTCGCCTTCTTGGTCACAAGGGCACACTGCTGGCTCATGGAACACCCTAATCCTGAAAACAGAAAACAGAGCAGGCATTATGTGCTTTAGGAATGCTCTGGATAAATCAACATCTGCCTTTGCTGAAGCCCTAAAATTTGTTCCAAGTGTCTGCTGTGTCACTGTCCCACAAGTAGGGCAGATTAGTTTGAAATTCTCTACGTTTGTGTCAAAGGCATAATACAAAAAGGAAGAAAAGACATCTTATAGGAATAGTTTACAAAGGTAACCACATTATCAAATGGTGTTTCTTGAAGATCTCTAACTCACAGGAAAAAATCCCGGAATTTCATGGTCATGCTAAATTATCCACTGCATAACTCAGGACAAGTTTGGCTAAATATGATTGCTATTTAATTTGAAAATCTTGCGTTCATTACTTGATTGTCTGAAGTTGGACAAAAGTACTTTAATTTGAGATCTTCCAGCTTTGAACAGAGTTTATAAAGAGCCAATAGTCTCCATTCCGATGCCATCATTTGTTCCACATTACACAGATGCCATTAACAGTAATCAGGACACCAGATTAATTTCTTCCTCATGGAAATCTCATCTACTGTGACTTTTCAGCACTGCACTTTTGTCCAGAAAGTGACCTTCAAACCTTTTTTCTTTGAGGGTTTTTTTTTACAGATGAAGAGGCTTTTTAGTTGCCTGTATTTCATTGCATTAATATTTCTTTAAAAATTAAGGTTTGTTTTTTTTTTTTTTAACCTGAGTTTTACAAGTAGATGCAAATAAAGCATCTTATACTACTTCTCTCTGCACTGAATAAGTCATAGGAAGGCTGGATCTTCTTGCGTTTCATTTTGCATTTTTGAAAGGAAGGTGTTTTGGCAGACAGGCTGTTTTGTTCTCTGGCACCTTGTCTAGGTGACACCAGAAGTTATTTATCTTGAGATAAATAATTCCAGCTGAATTCCATGCCTGAAACCCTCATACTCTACAATTTACATGTTTTTAATGTAAAGCCTTTAGCATTGCCTTCTGCTGTTACTTAAGTGAGCAAACAAAAGCATGAAGTCCACTGCTTTCTTTGCTTCCTACTGTTGTCATTCAGCTTTGCAGAAGATCATGAGCTCCAAGTACTGTCATTTCTGTTCTGAATATCGAACTGCCTGGAGTGGCAGCCCTCTTCAGGGCAGAGCCCAGGAGACCATCAGCACTGCAAGCTCTCATCCCAGCTTGTTTCTCTTTGGCCTGCTGGGGCCAAAGAAATACAAAAAGATCCAGCACTTGTTGACAAGGATCTCAGCTTGATCAATCTTTTTGTCAGCATTTATGGAAGGACAAATGTTGGTTTGTCTAGAATGGAGGCAAACAGAGCCTGAAAACCTTCCAGCAGATTTCCTGTGTCTCTGCAGTGCTCTGTGTGTGTGTGCACCATAAACCCAGCTCCGGAACTCCGGCTGTTCCTTCAGCTGTGCTCTCTGGTGTTGTACCTAAAACAGAGAAGCTGAGATTTCTCTGAGAATTTTCATAGACCAGTTTTCCAAAGACCATTTTCTTATCGGTCAATGCTTTGTTATTACCTCAACACTCTTTTGCAGTGCTTTATGATATTATGCTAATAATCCCATTTTATTGGGAAATTCAGCTGCTTTACTGTGTTTCCTATCTAAAACAAATCTTTATTTCAGTTACTGATAGCATATATATGCTAAAGGTGATGTCTAGATTACTGTAAATGTTACATATGGTAATATGTGCAGGATCCTTCCCTCCTGCCCAGACTGTGTTAGCTCATCCCTAAGGCAGAAGGGTGTGGTGCTGCCCTCCTCCAGCCTCGTGTGCCAGTCATGGCACGCTGACCTCCCTTTCCTTCGGGTAAGTCAGCTTGCAGCCACGGAGCCAATGGCCAAAGCCCTTTCAAACTTCCATGGCTCAAAAGCCTGTGTATATATACTGCCAGGGTGGATTGTCAGCACTGCTGGATTTATTGGTTTGTACTGCTTTGTGTCACGGTGACCTGACTTTTGAACAGAGGAATTGTTTTTCATTTAGTTCTCTTTTCCCCCTTGGAAGATGAAAAGGACAAAAAAAAAAAAAAAAGAAGTCATGTTTTAAATGTTTTCATATTGAAATTTATGAGTTGTTTTTTAGGTGTGTGCTATTAATTTGGTAAATTGACATTATTTGCATGTCAAATTATATTGTAGCTTTTCAGATGCTTGTACAGAAACATGCAGTAAAAGGTGGCTGCATGAGTAATAATAACTTAAAAATGAATTGTCTGTAGTCCTTAAATAGAAAATCACCTTCAGAAGGCACCAGTGCTGTTGTAACTGAAGTCCTTAATGCAGCAGTTACAGAACTTTTAAGAATATGAACAGTACTTAAATACAAAATGAAAAAAAAAATGCATTTTTTTATTACATGTATTTATTTGCTTATGTTGAGGTGGTTTGAGCCCATCATGCTCTGTGCAAAGGTGTGTAAAGACTGCAACTTCTATCTAAAGACTATCAAGGAGTGGTCACTGAATTCTAGTTCATCATTTAAAGCTGGCAACATTTCAGCTTCTTGCAACCATGCACTGTGCTCATTATGAAAGAACCATTGCAAGTTTGATAGTCATAGATCATGTCTTTCTGACCATGGAAACTAAATTAACCTCTCACCTCGCTATGTACAATAGTTCCTTCAGTTCAGCATTCAGGCAGACCAGTGAGGAGGTTCTCACAGTGTCATTTACATGGTCTCAGTCTACTGCATTTTTCCCACAGTTCAGTTGAAATACCCTCCCATCCAGGCTGGTACTAGAAATTCTAGAAATTCCTTTTGTTGTGTCAAGGAAGAAGAAATATATAATTCCCAGACTTCACATCACTAACCGCTGTGGCTGTCTACTTTCAAATGGAGTGGGGACAGATCGAATGAAAGCACCTGGTGGGCACAATAATATCTTTGCCATTGAGTTTTTTCAGGGATAACTGGGTGGCTCAATGCAGGGAGTTTTGTGTTACACAGGTAAGACTGTTATGGACATGATTGTTGTTTCTTGGATGTACCATTTTCACATTTGCTATTTCTCATACACAAGATGAAAGTGCAGTACTGCTTTTACACCTCATATTGTTGCTTTTTTTTTTGTCCAGTGTGAGACATTAGTCATCTACAAAGCCCTCAAGTTAAGAATGTTAGCAGCTAATGCTGTAAATCCATATATCTTATATTTTGTACAAATAAATACATATTACCAAATTATTTATTTTTGTGTGCATCATTATGTGGTTCAGAGAAAGTTAAAATCACAACTTTTATTGGACTGAAATTTCAGAGAGGAGTGGCTCGCGGTCAGTCACCAGTAGGAGCTGTCCTTTTGTTAGAAGTGTTTGGAGATACCGTCTCTGGAATGTGGCATTGTGCCTTCAGAATAGTGAGAAGAGGAAAGAATACTTTCCCAATCATTTTCCTAGATGCTAGCAACACTTGTGACAGTAGAATCTGGATTTTACTGGTCTACATGAGCACGTTCTTTTGTCAGCAAAATATAGCATTCTTGCTAAATATAGCATGCTATTAAACTGAAGCAATGTGCTGGCAGTGTCAGATAAACGTTTCACATTACTTGAAATGCCCAAGGAGTCGGCGTGGGGTGGCTGAAATACTATGACCAGGCTGGGTCTATCAGACCAGCAAAAAACACAAGCAATGAGGACATCCCTTTGGAGCTGCTGGCACTGTGCACCATGGGCTGCCCCACTAAGGATCACCTGGCTTTTCACTGAAAAATGTAACTGGAAATGTTGTATCCCAGAGTTCTACAGTATTGTCACATTATGCACTGGTCAATTCTCTTCCTACTGTCACATATAACAGCATCAGTACTGAGTTTTCTGTTCCCTGCAGCTGGCAGTGACAGCTGCAGTCACCTTACTTTGGGTGGGAGGGAGGATCAGATGCCCTTAGCCAAGCTTTGTATCTGATCACAGAGCAAGGTTATCAACACCTGGTATTTAAGGAAGTCTGAAAGCTGGAAAATATTATTTTAGGAAGTCATTTAAAGTATCCTCAAAGCCTTCCCTGAAGATAGCCATTGATTTTAATAAATAAAGCACATTTGCAAAATGTTTATTATCAAATCTTAAAAATCTGAAGTATTACAAAGCATTTTTTCTCCCTCCCCCAGCCAGGGTACTTTCTATCCCAAGGATTACTGGGCCGGGCAGTGCATTAGTGCGTGATGGAGGCGGTG